TTGGGTCAGCCTTGCGATAGTCTTGGGGACTTTTCCCCAGGGCGCTGTGTCTTATAGAGTGCTCGACTGATTTCGATGTGTGTGTCTATTTAACCGTAAGGCTTAAGTGACTTCCCCGATCCCGTACCTCAAGGGGACGAGATATAGAGACGAGACGAGATTCCTCCCTGACACGTGTGGAGAACCCGAGAGTAGAAGAACTTCCCCCCTGATAGTGAATAGAAATGTTGCAGGCACAGCTGTATTAGGAGATTTAGGATGGGCAGATTTAGGCTATATTCCTGATAAATTTAGGATACAGTACTTATAGATTACAACATATGGACAATAGCAGGTGGACCAAAGTTGTTTTTATAGAGTTACATAAATCCCAGGAAAATAACTTTAAGCTTATCTGGAATTGGCCAAAATATATAAACAAAATTCTTGTTTCTAATGGACTAGATCATGTTTATGGGACTGAAACACAAACTAATAAACAGTGGACCAAAAGCTTTCATAAAATAAGTGAAGAGAATGAACAAAACATTTTACAGATAAAATAAATAACATGAAATCTTTTGAACACTATTGTTGGATCAAAAGAAATAACAAAAAAAAATATATTAAGGATCCCTATGATGGCATATCATTAATGTTTAAGGTTAGGTCTAACTCACTGGATTTAGAAGGAAATAAACTAAAATGGGTAAATTACAAAGGAATTGACAGTTGTAAGTTGTGTCATGGTGGCATAGAAGATGTATATCATTCCCTATTTCTATGCAATGCAACATTCCACTTAAGAAATAAATTTTACTCTGATTTGATCAAAATAGTCTCAAATATTGATGACGGCCAAACACTAACGAATTGCTTTCTCTCAGGGGGGATGAATTTCAAGTTTAATTTGCTTTTTGGGGAAATTCCATGGAATATGAATTATGAGTGGGGGGACATTGTTTTTAAGGGGTTAGCATACGTTCGCTGGTTCAATTTTTTGGCCTCAATTTACAGACTGAAACATACATCTTACCCATACATGTTATATACCATAATAAAGATCTTGTTTCAAAC